TAAAAAATAATTCAGCAAACTAGAACTATAGTAATAGATGGATTTTCCTCAACCTCATAAATAGAATACACTAAAAAACCTAAGCTACATCATTCGTAATGATAGAAGACAATGCTTTCCCCTAACATCATGAACCAAAAAAAAAGAAAAAAAAGGTCTAATCTCAACGCTTCTATCCACCACTGTATTGGACATTCTAGCCAGTACAATGAAGCAGAAAATAAAGGTATCCAGTTCCGAGGCCAGAGTTACAGTGCAAGAGGTTAAGCTGCTGCTTGCCATACCAGCATCCCATCACACTGCCAAGCCTTCTGCTTCCAATCAAGCTCCTAGTTAATGAGCCTGGGAAGGCAACAGACGACAGCCAAGGGACTTGGGCCCTACCACCTATGTGGCAGACTCAGATAGAGTACCAAGCTCAGGGCTACTGATTCCAGCCTGGCACAGCCCCAGCCATTCCAGCAATCTCAGGGAGTAAGCCAGAGATGATGGGAAATCTCAGTCCATCTCTCCCACCATGTCTCTAGAACTCTGCCTTTCAAATAAATAAATAAATCTTAAAAAAAAAAAAAAAAAAAAAAAAAACTCAGTTCAAAAATAAAGAAGCTATTTGTAGAAAATGATTCACTATGCAGAAAATCTAATGAAATTTATAAAAAAAAAAAACAACGAATCAATGAGTTTATCGTGATCACAGGATACAATATATGAAAACTGTTATTTCCATATAAACAATAAACAATCAGGAATTGGCATATTTAAATATCTCTTACAACAGCATTAAAAATATGAAATGCTTATAAACAGGTATGACAAAAAGTCTAATATTCTATTATAATTGTAAAACAATGCTGAGAGAAACTAAAAAACTATGTCTCCATCAACCAATGGAGAAATATACCTTATTTACAGTTCAGAAGATTCAGTATCTTTTAAATGCCTGTTCTCCCCAAACTGGTCTAGAAATTCGATTCAATGTCAATAAAAATCCCAGTTTGCTTTTATGGAGAAACTGACAAATTATTTCTTAAACTCATGGAAATGCAAAGGACCAAAAACATAACTGAAACAAAAGAAAGTGCAAGGCTAATACTACCTGAATTTAAGACAATTAATTTCAAAGACAGAATAATTAAAACAGAGTGGTACTGGTAAAAAGATCATGAACAGAATGGGCCCACAAATAGACCTAAATATGCATAGACAACTTTTCACAAAATTAAATCATAATTCAGTGGAGATTTAATGGTGCTGAGACAATTAGCTATTCATATTTGCAAAACTGAACGTCAAGTCCTGTCTTATAAAAATCCAATAAACTTTGATCAATACCACGCACCATATTTCAAAGAAAAAACCTGAAACTGTATCAGACTCAAACGTAAAAGAACTTTTTAAGACTTACATGAGAAAATGCAAATGATCTTTTTAGAACTTGTTTAGACAAAAGAACACTCACAATAGAACAGACTTTATAGAAATTAAAATCTGCTCTTCAAAAGGCAGTGAGGAGGAAAAGACAAGCTACAGACAGACAGAAACACATGAGAAAGAACTTATATCCAGAATACAAAATAAACTTTCAAAACTCAACATTAAAGAACGCAACAAAAACTGGGGAAAAAGTTATTGACGCTCCACCAAAAAAGAAAGGATGAAAAATTAAGCACATGAAAAGATGCTCACATCATCACTTATCAGGAGGAAAATGTAAAACTAAATCACAGTGAGACACTACCACACACAAATTAAAATCACTGAAATAATAAAGCCTGACTACATAAGTGTTAGAAAAGATGTAGAGAAACTAAGACATCGCTGGAGGAAATGTAAAATGCACAATCAGTTTGGAAAATCATTTTTTAAAAAGTTATACACACGCCGGCACCACGGCTCAATAGGCTAATCCTCCGCCTTGCGGCGCCGGCACACCAGGTTCTAGTCCCGGTCGGGGTGCTGGATTCTGTCTCCGTTGTCCCTCTTCAAGGCCAGCTCTCTGCCGTGGTCAGGGAATGCAGTGGAGGATGGCCCAAGTGCTTGGGCCCTGCACCCCATGGGAGACCAGGAGAAGCACCTGGCTCCTGCCTTTGGATTTGCGCGGTGCACAGGCCGCAGCCCGCCGGCCACGGCGGCCATTGGAGGGTGAACCAACGGCAAAGGGAAGACCTTTCTCTCTATCTCTCTCACTGTCCACTCTGCCTGTCAACAAAAAAAAAATCTATAAAAAAAAAAGTTATACACACAGTACTATACAATCCCACTGTTCTTCCCCTAGGTATTTTCCCCACGAGAAATCATAGCATATATCCATTTAAAAATTTATAGACAAATGTTCACAAAAGCCTTAGACGTAATAGCCAAAAAATTACAACAAGCATAATGCATCAACAGATGACTGGGTAAACGAGTGAGTGGGTACATCCATACAATGGAAGAGTACTCAGCAATAAAAAGGCATGATTTACTGATAATGCCAAAAGCTTAAGTCTCAAAATAATTGTGGTAAGCAGAAGAAACTAGATATCACCTCCCTCCCCCCAAAAAATATACACTTTATAACTTCATGCACATATAATTCTAGAAAACAAACTAATCTATAACAGTGGTAGATCACTGGCTGCCTGATGCAGAAGTGGAAGTGAGAGGTTTCACAGGAAATTTAAAGGGATGATGTTATATTCAGTATCTTGCTTATAATGATGGTTGTACATATGTAAATACACATGAAAACTTACATACTTTAAACATGCAAAGTTAACTATACATTAATTATATCTCAATAATACGCTTTAAAATCTGCACTGAATTTTTAACTTTGGATAAAACTTCCACAAGGATAATGCACCACAGAAATACTATAAAAGTTGATTCTAATTATAGTAAAAATTAAGGGTCTGCAAACTAAGGCCGCAGGTCAAATCCAGACATGACCATCCACTGATGTATGATCTATGGCTGCCCTTCCTGCAACAGAAGTTAAGCAGTTGCAAAGAGACATCACTGCAAATCCAAAAATACTGAATAGTCATCCTTCAGAATACATGGGTGATTGGTTCTATGACCCTCGTGGATATCAAAATCCACAGGTGCTCGAATTCCTTAAATAAAATGGCATAATATTTGCATATGTCTACCTACATCTTTCTGTGTACTTTAAGCTATCTCTAGATTTCTTACAATGCCTAATACAATGTAAATGCTATGCAAATAGTTATTATATTGCATTAAAGAATGAAGGAAAAAAATTCTGTACATGTTCAATACAGACATAAGCTAATAAAAACAGGTTACAAATAATAATAAAATAAAATATTTTTAAAGAGTTATTTGAAAGACAGAGTTACAGATAGGGAGAGACAAAGAGAAAGAGACAGGGACAGGGACAGAGACAGAGAGAATGAAAGCATCTGCTGGTTTCCTCCCCAGATGGCCACAGTGGCCAGGACTGGGCCACGCCAAAGCCAGGACCCAGGAGTTTTATCAGCTTACTCCCATGGGGATGACAAGGGCCTAAACATTTGAGCCATCCTCCACTGCTTTTCCCAGGCCATTAGCAGGGAGCTAGATCAAAAGTGGAGCAGCTGGGACACGAACCGGTGCCTAAATGGGACGCTGGCATTAAAGCTGGAAGCTCTCCCTACTTCGCCACAATGCTAGTCCCGTAAGTTATTTTTCCAAATATTTTTGATCCACTGTTGGTTGAATCCATAGATACAGAACCATGGAAATGGATCCTCTGGTATAGGAAGTTGAATGTATATGGCACTTTCCAGAAAAAGCTTGTTGATCAAGAAATTTTTTGATAAAATAGATGAGGTTATGAACTAATTCTTCAGAAAGATCAACGTGGTAACAACTCAAGACCAAGGCTTTCCAGAATGCATAAGCATAATGGCTTCCGGTCTTCCACGTATCAGAAATCATGGCCGCCAGTTAGCCCTCCGCATTCACAGGTTCCACAGCCATGAATTCAACAGCAGTTCAGAAGAAACAATTATGTGGGTTTACAGTCGGCACAGCAGTCATGCAGGCCCCGGGACACCCACATCTCATGTCAGAATGCCTGGGTTTGAGCCTCTGCTTCACTTCCAAGTCCAGCTTCTTGTTACTACGCACCCTCGGAGGTAGCAGTGATGACTCAAGTACTTGGATCCCAATCACCCACATGGGAGATCTGGACTGAATTCTGGGCCCCACAGATGTAGCTTGGCACAGCCCCAGCTCTTGTGGGCATTTGGGAAGTGAACCAGAAAATGGAAAATCTGTCTTTTTTCTGTCATCTTTCTATCAAATCTTTTTTTTTTTTTTTTTTTTTTTTGACAGGCAGAGTGGACAGTGAGAGAGAGAGAGAAAGGTCTTCCTATTCCGTTTGTTCACCCCCGAAATGGCCACTGCGGCCGGCGCACTGCAGCTGGCACACCGCACTGATCCGAAGCCAGAAGCCAGGTGCTTCCTCCTGGTCTCCCATGCGGGTGCAGGGCCCAAACTTGGGCCATCCTCCACTGCACCCCGGGCCAGAGCAGAGAGCTGGACTGGAAGAGGGGCAACTGGGACAGAATCCAGCGCCCCGACCGGGACTCAAATCATTCTTTAAAGAATGGCGTCTGTATTGCCCACAGACAGACATTTTTTCTTGTCATAACTCAAACAACACAGTATAACTCCTGTACTGACTGAGCACTTACACCATATTAGGCATTACAAACATAAGTAACCGACAGATGGTTTAAAATATATGGGAGGATGTGGGCAGGTTATATACTAAACCTACACTATTTTCTCCAAGGGACTTGGGAGCACCCACAAATTTTGATACACATAGGCAGTGCAGGTGGACAGTCCTCATCAGTACAGGGATGACCACGTCCTTCTGAACCTACAGCACAAGAGCATATAACGAATACAAGTAAAATGTCAACAGCACTTTCCTAACTCATTTTCTACATACATTTAAATAGTAGAAACTTCAAATATCTACTTTGTACTCAAGAAATCCTTACCTAATCTGTTCAGTTTGTACAATCCCTTCTTTATGACCCTCCAAACGGGCAGCCAATCTTTCTTTATCGAGGCGCACACACTCTTCATCCTGGAAACAACAACTGGTTAGTGAGCATTTTATTTAAGTTTAAAAAAAAAAACATTTTCTTACCCAAATTCCTATTTATACAGATCCAAGCATTACTGTCTTCAGATCAATTTTAAGACTATTTTGAGGGGCCAGCACTGTGGTCTGGTAGGCTAAGCCTCCGCCTGTGCCACTGGCAACCCATGTGAGTATCTGTTCAAGTCCCAGTTGCTCTTTGATCTAGCTCTCTGCTATGGCCTGGGAAAGCAATAGAAAATGGCCCGGCCAGCATCGCGGCTCAATAGGCTAATCCTCCGCCTTGCGGCGCCGACACACCGGGTTCTAGTCCCGGTCAGGGCGCCGGATTCTGTCCCGGTTGCCCCTCTTCAAGGCCAGCTCTCTCCATGGGAGTAAGCTGATAAAAAGGATGGCCCAAGTACTTGGGCCCTGCACCCCATGGGAGACCAGCCATCTGGGGAGGAAACCAGCAGATGGATCGTCTCAGCTCTGACCGTTGCAGCCATTTGGAGAGTGAACCAGTGGGTGGAAGACCTTTCTGTCTGTCATTGCCTTTCCATCTGTAACTCTGCCTCTCAAATAAATAAATAAAAATCTTTAAAAAAAATAAAAGATTACAATTTTAAGTATACACCGGATCACACTGCACTGGAACTAACTACAGATGTTCACTGTACTAATGGTTCTGCATCCCAGTGAATCCATCATAAACTGGAAATACATTTAGAACATGTAACCTACCTTTAAACATGCTTAGAACACTAACAGTGGTCTACATTTGGCCAAAATTATCTAATTCAAAGCCCATTTTTAATAAACTATTGACTACATCATGCAACTTACTGAATACTATATCAACATGAAATGGTTTCTACTGAACACATACCACTTTCACATTACCATAAAGTCAAAAATTTCGAGTTGAACTATCCTAAATCAGGGATATCTATAAAAGGTCACCAAAACAAAACCTTGCTTATTCCTTTTTTTCTGTGAGTTTTTTAAAATTTTATTTATTTATTTCAAAGAGTTACAGAAAGACAGAGACAAAAAGATCTACTGATTCACTTCCCAGATAGTTGCAACAGCCAGGACTAGGCCAGGCAAAAGCCAGGAGCTTCATCCGCGTCTCCCATTTGGACCATCTTCCACTGCTTCCCCTATCTATTAGCAGAGAGCCAGATCATAAGTGGAGGATACAAATTGGCACCTACATGGGATGTTGGCATTGCAGGCAGCAGCTTTCCTCACTACACCACAACATCAGCCCCCATTTTTCCTGTGATTAACACAAGTGTTCTTCACGTAATATTCCATTATTACTTTTACTCAGAAAGAACACACAAATCCCTTGTGAAAAAAATCGTAACTAAATTTTATAGATGTCTTTACCACAGTAAAATTTCATTTTAGATCTAGATTTTTTTTCCATGTGTTGCCACAGGTCCTAAATATATCAGCACAGATGAAAATACTTGAACTAAATCCTAAATGGTTTTTAAAGCATGTTCCTTACAATCCTAGGAGTTTCTACCAACAGTGCCCTGTTGAGAGTCACTAAGAACTTGTCAATCTTGGTGGCTCAGCTTTTATCTTTATTATTTACGTCAGAATATCAGGAGAAACTTAGTCTAAAAAGAGTCTGGCTGCTTAAAAACAAATTAAAATTTGAAACCTCTGTTCCAGTTCAATACCCACTTTCAATGAATAAAAATACTGTGAACCAGAATGTCTATGAATAACAGAATATGAAACTATAAAAAGCATCAGCGAGGTGACAGCACTGTGGGTAGTGGGTAACGCTGCCAGCTGTGGTGCTAGCATCCCATATGGGTGCCGGTTCAAGTCCTAGCTGCTCAACTTCCATTCTAGCTCCCTGCTAATGTGCCTGCGAAAGCAGAAGATGGCCCAAGTCCTTGGGCTGCTGCATCCACATGGGATACCAGGAAGAAGCTCAGGCTCCTGGCCAGCTCTGGCAGTTGTGGACATTTGGGGAGTGAACCAGCAGATGGAAGATCTCTCTCTCTGCCTCTGTTTCTCAGTAACTCTGCCTTTCAAATACACAAATAAACATTTTAAAAAAAGCATCAGCATATTCAAGATATCCAAAAAGATGGTAGAATCCAATTCCTAATAATTAATCTATCATTTAAAAATTTTAAATCCGACACATCCGCTGAGATGAATACAATGTTTTCATTTCAGCAAGTGTATTAAATTTTTGCCATTTTAATAATATAATCTGGATTAGTCAAGTTCCTGAATGAAACAGATTTTTATTTATTATTATCTGAAAGGCACAGAGACAGACACCGAGAGGCCCCATCCACAAGTTCACTCCTCAAATGCATGCAATGGCCAGGGCTAGGTCAGGCCAAAGTTAGCAGCCAGGAACCCAACTCAGGCAGCAGGACCCTTTCTGCCTCCCAGGCCATTGTTTTCTGCCTCCCAGGGCCTGCATGAGCAGGCAACTGGAATCAGGAGGTAGAGCCAGGACGCAAACTAGCACTTTTTATAAGGAATACAGGCACGTTAACTGCCAGGCCAAATGCTGCTCCAAGAAACTACCAATTTCACAGACAGCTGCAGGGCCAGCGCTGGGGCACAGCAGGTCAAGCCACCACCTGCAACACCAGCATTCCATCTGGGCACCAGTTTGTGTCTCAGATGTTCCACTTCCAATCCAGCTTCCTGCTAACAGACTGGAAAGCAGTGGAAGATGGGAGATAGGGATAAAGCTCCTGGCTTCTGCATAGCTGAGACCTGGCCATTACAGCCACGTGGAGAATGAACCAGTGGGTGGAAAATGAATTTTGTTTTAAAGATTTATTTGTTTTATTTGAAAGGCAGTGTTATAGAGAGGCAGAGGGAGAGTGAGAGATCTTTCATCTACTGGTTCACTCGCCAAATGGCCACAATGGCCAGAGCTGGGCCAATACAAAGGCAAGAGTTTTATGCAGGTCTCCCATGCAGGTACAGGAGCCCAAGCACTTGGGCCATCTTACACTGCTTTCCCAGGCCATAGCAGAGAGCTGGATTGGAAGTGGAGCAGCCAGGACTCGAACCAGTGCCCACATCAAGTGTCAGTGTCACAGGTTATTTTATTGATAAAGTGTTCTTTCTACTACACAATTTCTTCGAGGGGAAAAAAGCTCCCAGAATTACTACAAACCAAAATTTCTTATCACTGCACAATCCCAATTTGGTAACAATGTGAATCATCTGTAAAGCCCATTACCTCAATTCGTGGTTTCTTTGCTTCTGCTAGAACTTCATCTGCAGCTCGTTTGACTTTAAGAAAAAAAGAAGCACATAAGCAGACAGTCTTGGGAAGGTCTGAACACTCAGTACACAGATGCAACACTACAGACCTTGAGTAGATCGCTGCAGCCCTATCTCCAGGGGGGCACTTCTGTCAATGCTTGCAGACGTTGCTACAGAGGTAAAAAGAGCCACGTGAGATCAGCAATTGAACACATATACTGGACAATATTACAAATGAATGCTCAAGGCTTGTTATGTTTCCAATTTCTACATGGTGATTTCATTAAGTTTTTAAGTTTCAAAGTAGTGAGGTAAAGTATTTCATTAAAAAGATTAATCTGTATTATAAAATCTTTAAGAGTTGATCAACTATTTCTAACAATGTAGCTTAACATTACCAAGATGATCTGGCTGAAATTAATCATACTTCTAAGAATCCTCTCAAGTACAACAGCAAATGCAGATTTAAAGAAAGTTTATCTAAACACAAACATACAAATATGACTGGAAGTTTTTTAAAATTTCATTCACTGAAGCATACAGCTTTCAGTTATTCGTAACTGGTAGAACACCTTCTAGTTAAATCATTTAATTCTTATTTTATTTTATTTGAGAGAAATACAGAGCTCCCATACACTGATTCACACTCCGAATACATGCAAAGATGGGGCCTGCACAAGCTGAAGAAGCAGGAGCCATAAACTCAAACCAGGTCTCTGATGTCAGTGGCAGGGATCCAACTGGAACCATCATCCACTACAGTTCCCAGAGTGCGAATCAGGTGGACACTGGAACTGGGAGTAGAGTCAGGCCTGGAACCCAGACACTCCGCCATGGGATTCCGGCACTCCAGAAGTCTCTGTGCCAAACACCCATCCTTATTGAATTTCTGAAAGTCTCAAAACAACGGAACTGCAAAGTGCACCCACTCCCATTCACCTTGCTCCCACCACCCCATGTAACTATTGACAGTCTTATATATCCTTCTAGTTTCTTTCAAAAAATATCATCCATTTCACTTTTTTAACAGAAAGTGGCATACAAGCCATTCATTCACAAAACTTGGATTTTATTATCTAACAGTGGATTTCTGACAACCCTCTATGTAAGTGTGTAGAGCAATATAACTATTTTTATACAGCTACATAGGTATTTTATAAGTTAATTATAACTTAATTAATTCCTTATCTTTGAACAGTTCAATGTTAAGTCTTTTGTCATTACAAACAATTGCCAAGAATATATTATATACACCATTTAAAACAATTTCAAAAATATGTCAGAAAGTCCCAAAATTAAGATTTCCAGTCAAATCCAAAATGACAGACTGTCGCTCCCCGTCTTCATGGGGGAACGACACTAAACCCTGCCTAGGCTTCATATCCGAGTCACGGCACCATTATGTCGCTCCCCCTCTTCGTGGAGGAACGACACAGGACCCTGCGCTGTTCTTTCGTCTGCTCGGCTCTCCCCGGGTTTGCTGCTGGTTCTTCCCGGGTTGGCTACTATCCCTTCCACCTCCGTGGAAGGGCAGTTCCCCCTGGCCACATTCCCCACTTCCGCAGGGGAGCGGCACACCGCCGGCCGGCTTTCTCGGGGGCTGCACGGGTGTTCCTTCAGCTAGATGTTCCCCATAGATGTTCCTGGTGCATGCCGTTTCTCTCCTCCTTTATAGTCCTCCTCCGCCAATCCTAACTCGGCTGCCCACACGCCGAGTACGCTGCTCTCCTCCAATCAGGAGTAGGTCCTACAGTTTATTAGTTGAACTGGAGGCAGCTGTGCGGAAGCTGTTTACTTCTCTCCCAGCGCCATATTGTGGGAGAGCAGATGCATAGAATAAGTCTTAATTCCAGTAACTCAGTCTAGTCCGGTCTGCTCCCCACAGATCCCCCTTTCTTTTTATTTTTGGCGTTGATACGCGCCTGTCTTCGGTGTCCCGCGGCACACACTCTGCTCTACTTGCTAGAGTTGCCACAGGCTCTTACAAGTCCTATCAATCAGGCAAACCGAATCCGGGTCCTCTCTTCGCCATGTTGTGAGGAGGTTTTTAGGCGCTGATGCGTGCCTGTGTTCGGTGCCCTGCAGCGCATGCTCTGGTCGAGCCTGCAGGGGCTTACAAGCCCTATCAGGCAAACCGAATCCAAGCCTTCTCATTGCCTTTTTGTGGGGAGGCCTTACTGATGTTAATTCGTGCCTGTCTTCGGTGACCTGCGGCGCATAAGCTGCTAGCCGCCGCAGGTGCTCATCGTACTCATCGCCTCACTTAATCAGGCAGACCGAATCCAAGCTCTCACATTGCAGTGTTGTAGGGAGGCCTTTCTATTTCTCTATTTCTCTATCTCCGGGCATTCCTATTTCTCCCATTTTACTTCTATCTTCCAGCATTCCTATTTCTCTCACTTTGCTTCTAAACTTCTATTTCTCTTATCCCTGCAGCTTCCCGGCTGCGCCCGCCCCGAGGCTGCTTCTCGGCAGCTTTCCGGCTCTGAGCCGCTTCAGCCCGCATCTCTCTCATCTGCACGGCTCGGCTTTGCGCGGCTTGGCTTCGCGCGCTCCGCGGTCTCCACGCCCTTCGCGTCTGCACCACGGCCTCACGCCAGCCCCGTTCCCTATCTATTCACGCCCCGTGCTCTCTCTGCACGCGGCGGCTTCCGCGAGTAACACAGCGTAGCTTACGTGTCCGCCACTAGCATTCAATCTAAGTTCCCCGGGCTAGCCTGGCGAATTCAACCCAGCATACGTCTCCGCCCCACTGTTTGGCTTCCCGTCCTTTGCTCCCCGGGCTAATCAGACGGATCCCAATCTGGCTTACGTTTCAGCTTCTGGTTTCAACTTTTCGCCCCCCATTCCCGGGCTAACTTGAGAACCCCAAAGTGGCTTTCGTGTCCGCCTTGGCCTGCCCCCCACGGCTTCAATTTCCCTAACATTTTTCTCTACCCGGTATGTTTCCCCAAACTTTCCTCCAACGATATTCCTCCCTCATTTCTCCTGGCCTCTCCCCACAGTCCGCATCCGAGTCTGTTCTAGCTTTCACTTTCGCTTTCGACCTTAGAGATTTCTCCCAGCTTCCCCCCGTAGTCCGTATCTGAGTCTATGCCTAGGCTTTCAATAGCTTCTTCCGGCTCCTTTTTCGTCCGGCTTTTCCCTAGGCTGTTTGCTAGTCTCTCTCTCCGATATTTTCCCTAGGCTGTTTGCTAGTTTCTCTCTCCGATATTTTCCCTAGTTCTTCCCGTTTCTTCCCTCCTAAGTTTCATATCCGTCCTAAGTTTCCTATCCGAGTCACGTTTCTTCCCTCCTAAGTTTTCTATCCGTCCTAGGTTTCCTATCCGTCCTAGGTTTCCTATCCGAGTCACGGCACCATTATGTCGCTCCCCGTCTTCATGGGGGAACGACACTAAACCCTGCCTAGGCTTCATATCCGAGTCACGGCACCATTATGTCGCTCCCCCTCTTCGTGGAGGAACGACACAGGACCCTGCGCTGTTCTTTCGTCTGCTCGGCTCTCCCCGGGTTTGCTGCTGGTTCTTCCCGGGTTGGCTACTATCCCTTCCACCTCCGTGGAAGGGCAGTTCCCCCTGGCCACATTCCCCACTTCCGCAGGGGAGCGGCACACCGCCGGCCGGCTTTCTCGGGGGCTGCACGGGTATTCCTTCAGCTAGATGTTCCCCATAGATGTTCCTGGTGCATGCCGTTTCTCTCCTCCTTTATAGTCCTCCTCCGCCAATCCTAACTCGGCTGCCCACATGCCGAGTACGCTGCTCTCCTCCAATCAGGAGTAGGTCCTACAGTTTATTAGTTGAACTGGAGGCAGCTGTGCGGAAGCTGTTTACTTCTCTCCCAGTGCCATATTGTGGGAGAGCAGATGCATAGAATAAGTCTTAATTCCAGTAACTCAGTCTAGTCCGGTCTGCTCCCCACAACAGACTGCTGCCAGTTTCAACAGGAGTTGTATCAACTGACACTATAATGAACAAGACAACAGAATATGTTTCCTCTTAGCTTAGAATGTGTTATAAAATCTCAAGATTTTTATCTATCTAATTTTTAAATAACACTATGTATAGTTTAAATCTGAATGAAACTATCACCTTTTCTGTGAACTCCAAAACAGTACCCATTAGGTCATTAGTCTTTTTTTTTTCTTTCTTTTTTTTTTACAGGCAGAGTGGACAGTGAGAGAGAGAGAGAGAGAGACAAAGTTCTCCTTTTTTTTGCCGTTGGTTCACCCTCCAATGGCCGCCTTGGCCGGCACACCGCGCTGATCCAAAGGCAGGAGCCAGGTACTTATCCTGGTCTCCCATGGGGTGCAGGGCCCAAGCACCTGGGCCATCCTCCACTGCACTCCTGGGCCACAGCAGAGAGCTGGCCTGGAAGAGGGGCAACCGGGACAGAATCCGGCGCCCCGACCAGGACTAGAACCCGGTGTGCTGGCGCCGCAAGGCGGAGGATTAGCCTAGTGAGCCGCGGCGCCAGCCGGTCATTAGTCTTTTACGCGCCTATTTCCAACATCACTTCATGTATGGGATAAGACAGATCTTTTTACTGAGCCTTGAGCTGAAAAATCTTTTCCCAGTTCATCACGTTTCTTATCCACAATACAGAACTTTCTTACTTTTACCAACCCATCAACTGAATAATCTCACCCTTCCTCCCACTAATATGACACATCTCTTTACTCATGTTAAATTCACACATGAATTTTTAATCTAACAGAAGTCAGACAATAAGTAAGTTCAGCTCAAGAAATGAAATGTGATGAAGACTAAAAGAGAACAGTACTATACACACACAGAAGACTGAGGGATGAAATGCTAATTTATATTTTAGAATGATCAGAGAAGTCCTCTCTGATGAAACCTGTGAGCACAGACCTGAACGAGATAGGAAATGAGCCATGGGATGATGTGAAAGAACAACCCCAGGCAGGCAGACAGACAGCACGTGCCAAGGCTATCAAACAAGAACAGCCAGAAGATCAAGACTGATGTTGTGAGCAGAGCAGTACTGGCAAAGACGAGGTCACAGACTCGGGCAGAAGACACGAGGCCAGAAGGAGTGTAGCTTTGATTCCAAGCTACTCTAGGTGTGGCCTTCAGAAGGTGAGGGACACAGTCACATTTCTTTTTCAAAAACAGGTCATTTTTAACCACTAGGCAGAGAATATACTGTAGAAAATAAAGAATAGGAACTGGTGACGAGGCTACATGACAGTCTAAAAATGAAGCATATTATAACATAGGATTAGAATGGAAAGAAGTTGTCATGGTTTTAAAGACCGAAAAAGGGGGACTGAGTTATGACACACAGGGTAAAAACGCCACCTGAAATATGGTATATAATGCTGGTATAATGCTGGTATACCAGCTGCTCCACTTCGATTCCGCTCCCTGCTAATGGCCTGGGAAAAGAAGCAAAAGATGGCCCAAGTGCTTGGGCCCCTGCTACCCACGTGGGAGAACTGAAGAAGCTCTTGGCTTCAGCCTGGCCCAGCCCTTGCCGCTGCAGCCATTTCAGGAGTAAAACAGCAAACAGAAGATCTCGATCTGTAACTCCTTCAAATAAATAAATAAATCTTTCAAAAAAAGAGAGAGAATCAGACTTGCTGATGGAGTGGATATATGGATGTTAGATGTGAGAATGCAAAGATTTTGATAGGGTTCTTCACGTTAAATAACTGCATGAACAGGACGGCACTAAACATTACTGAGGCAGGAATTCTGGGAAAGAACAGAATCGTTGTTTTTGTCTTATATTAGGGGAGAAGGAACGATAACTGGGCATTCTGTTTTCAGGCTGTTAAATTTCAGAAGCCTACCGAATATCCAGGGGAAAATGCTAACAGTGAACTTATCAATATACAGCTCAGGAAAGTCAATGTTGGAAATAAACATTTGGAAATCATCAGCTAATATAGGACATTTAAAGTATAAAACTGGAAAAAACCACATAGAAATTAAGAGTTAAACAAGAAATTAAAAAAAAAAAAAAGGCCAATTCCTAGAAAATGTCAAGAATTACATTTTGGACACGGAAGTAACAAATTAAGAACTGAACAAATGAGTAGCAAAAGAGCCAAAAGAGCCTGGTGCCCCAAATGCTTTCAAAAAGAGAGCAGTCAACACTCCAAATGCTGCGCACAGTGAAGTAAGATAAGAGGAACCAACAGACAGGGCAATCCTCAGCTCTGTGTCAGCCTTACGAAGAGTGACTTGAGAGGGATGGTAAGCATTAAAGCCAGACTGGAGTGGTTTCAAGACTCAGAAGTAAAGAAGACACAATTCTCCTGAAAAGAAAAGAAAATAACAGTAGACAAACTGAGCAATACAGTAGAAATGTAGAACCAAAAACATTTTTAAAAAAGGTACTATTTGGGGGATGGTACTGTGGTATAGCAAGTAAAGCTGCCACCTACAGTTCAGCATCCCACATGGGCGCCAGTTCGAGTCCCAGCTGCTCCACTTCCCATCCAGCTCTCTGCTGTGGCCTGAGAAAGCAGTACAAGATGGTCCAAGTCGTTCGGCCCCTGCAACCATGTGGGAGACCTGGAAGAACCTCTTGGCACCTGGCTTCAGATTGGCCCAGCTCTAGCTGTTTTGGCCAGTTGGGGAGTGAACCAGCGGATGGAAGAACTCTCTCTCTCTCTCTCTCTCTGCTTCTCCTTTTCTCTCTGTATAACTCTGACTTTCAAATAAATAAATAAATCTTTAAAAAAAAAATGCACTATCGCCAGCGCCATGGCTCACTAGGCTAATCCTCCGCCTGCACCACCGGCGCCCTGGGTTCTAGTCCCAGTCGGGGCGTCAGATTCTGTCCCGGTTGCTCCTCTTCCAGTCCGGCTCTCTGCTGTGGGCCGGGAGGGCAATGGAGGATGGCCCAGGTCCTTGGGCCCTGCACCCCATGGGAGACCAGGATAAACACCTGGCTTCTGGCTTCGGATTGGTGCAGCACAGCAGCCGCAACGCACTGGCCATAGCAGCCACTTTGGGGGTGAACCAACGGCAAAAGGAAGACCTTTCTCTCTGTCTCTCTCTAAGTATGCCTGTCAAAAAAAAAAAAAATGCACTATCTCACTATGTCTCCTGTAAAGGTAAAAACTGATGGAACAAAAGAAAAACAATAATTTACAGAGGCAAAGCCTCTAAGAGCATGAAGGGAGATGGAATCTACAACAAAGAAGATGGAATTAACTGAAGAGCAAAAACAGCACACACTGCCTGTTAGCGAAGTGTTGCACATATGCACACAGCTGCAGGCAGATTAACATCTTGGTAGGAATATGAAATCTCTTCCCTAAACTTATTTCACAGGGGAAAAGGAAGGAAGGGAGAGAGGGATGAACGACTACATCTATTAAAGAATAGGAACAAATTGAAAAGTACTCACATGCTTCACCATTGAGATAGCCAAGCAGATCTTTTCGGTCAGGTCTTCTAACCACAGGAATATTTTCAGTCTGAATCAAAATTTTAAATTAGGTATTAGCCAAAAAACAACTATATATAAACTGATAAATATCATGCAATGTCTTAATTTATTCCAATATATCTTGACAACATACACTCAAATATCACATTTGTAAAAAAACAAGACTGGGGCCAGCGCTGTGTCACAGCAGGTTAATGCCCTGGCCTGAAGCGACGGCATCCTATACGGGCGCTGGTTCAAGTCCCGGCTGCTCCACTTCCTATCCAGCTCTCTGCTATAGCCTGGGAAAGCAGTACATGATGGCCCAAGACCTTGGGCCCCTGCACCCAAGTGGGAGACCCAGAAGCAGCTCCTGGCTCCTGGCTTCAGATCACACAGCTCCGCTGGTGCAGTCAATTGGATAGTGAACCATCGGATAGAAGACTTCCCCCACCCCCTCGTCTCTCTCTCTCTCTCTCTCTCTCTGTAACTCTTTCAAATAAACAAACAAATCTTAAAAAAATGAACAGATTAAAAGAATCTAATAAAAACCTTGAAAAAAAATTTTAACCAACTTTTTTAAAATGTCTATTTTTATTCCATTAGAAAAGCAGAAAGAACTCTTTGATCCACTAGTTCACTCTCCAAATCCTGAAACAGCCAGGGTGGACCAGGTCTCCCACATGGGAGTTGGGAACTCCACCCAGGTCTCTCCCATGGCTGGCAAGCACACAATCACTTGAGTCACAGCCTGCTGCCTCCAAGGGTGTGCATTAGCAAGAAGCTGAACTGGAAGCAGCAAAGCAGAGACTCAAAACCAAGCACTCTGATATGGGATGTGGGGCATCCTAAGCAGCGACTTACCCACTGAGCAAAACACATGCCCACTGAAGATTTTTTAGCCATATTAATTTTTGATAATTTCATTTTTGAAACTCCAGGGAGATATACAAAACATAATGGAAAGGAAGCAATGACTATTCCTTTTCAAAATATAACGTCAAGTCTTTCTCCTCCACTTAGTCTGAAGTGCTTTCTTTCCCTCACAAAAACCAGAACTCTTCAAAATATTCTGCTTAAACTCTTTCAAATAAATCAAATTAGATAGTAAAACTAAATTCTGATAGGTACATGTTCTATTTAAGTACAGGGAAAAATAGATTATACAGGAAAATATTAGTGGTAGTTGTTTATACATTCTGTATGATATATTTCTTTTTTATCCTTGAATATTATAAATTCTGTAAGCAGGGAAAAACTAAAAAATTAAATCTGAAAAAACTATCCATTTTAATAAAAGGGGTAATTTTCCTATAATTACCTACATGAGCAATTTGTAAAGAGGTAAGTAAAGGAAAACTGCATATTTTAGGTACCAAGTCATGTTTGGACCACAATTTTCCATATAATTTTTCTAATGTAAACAATCAACAGAATGCAAAGCAGTTACTCCAGAGGTGATGCTTAAATTCTTTGTCACCTTATATGAGCAACAATGAAGTAATGATACGTATCAAGGGGCTGGCGCTGTGGCATAGCAGGTAAAGCAACCACCTGCAGTGCCGGCATCCAATATGGGTGCCAGTTGCATTCCTGTCTGTTTCTCTTCCTTTCTAGCTTCCTGCTAATGTGCCTGAGAAAGCAGTAGAAGATGGCCCAAGTCCCTGGACCCGCTGCACCCATGTGGGAGCCTTGAAGGAGCCCCTGGCATCAGATGGGCCTGGCAACGGCCATTTCTGCCTTTTGAGGACTGAACTAGCAGGTCAAAGATCGATCTATCTATCAATAACTCTCTCCGCCTCTGCCTCACTTCAACTCCGCCTTTCAAATTAAGAAATAAATCTTTTTTTTAAAGACTTATTTATTTGAAAGTCAGAGTTACAGAGAGAGAGAGAGGTCTTCCATCCAATGGTTCACTCCCCAATTGGCAGCTAACAGCCGGAGCTGCGCTAATCGGAAGCCAGGAGCCAGGAGCTTCTTCTGGGTCTCCCACATGAGTGCAGGGGCCCAAGGACTTGGGCCATCCTCCACTGCTTTCCCAGGCCATTGGAGAGAGCTGGACTGGAAGTGGAGCAGCTGGGTCTCAAACCGGGGCCAATACTGGCGCTTTAGGCCAGGGCGTTAACCCGCTGCGCGACAGCACCGGCTCCAATAAATCATTTAAAAAAATTAAAAAGAAACTTTTAGCATCTTTGGTCAAATACCTTACCAGCAGTGAATGCTGACTAAATAGCTTCTCAAAAATGAGCTATATTTACCACTTAAAACTTAAGTTATTTTTAAAGTTCTGGCTATTATAAAATAGGGTTAAGTTTTTGTTTCCCCCTATGAGTATATAAAGTTTAAAAGCCTACAAACATTTTTGTACTTTCTTGAACTGGTCTACATAGAATAATGTAAATACTTAAAATAGTGGAACTAATTTTATTTAGATTACTGTCATACTGACAGTTGGTCACTACTGAGTTTATATGACTGCCATGAGGGAATATGTAAGTCTATTCAAATAGGCACTTTAGGTCAGAAAGAGTATTTCAAAAATGGTCTGCTCCTACCAAAGAGCAGTAACACAAAGAGAAGACAACAGCCAGAACTGGTACAACCCCAGAATTTTAGAATTCTTCTTTTCCAATGTGGCAAATATGAGTATTTAAGAAAAAAGAGATGGGCATTGTAGCATCGTGAGGTGAGCTATTGCTTGGGACACCTGCACGCCATGAGTGCCAGTTTGAGTCCCCTCCTTGCTATTACACCTGGGAAGCAGCAGACCAGCTCCTGCTAGTATACCTGGGAAACAACAGACACAGCCCAAGTACTTGGGTCCCTACTACCCATTTGGAAAACCTGGATAGAGTTCTAGGCTCCCGGCTTCAACCTCGCCAGACTACACTTTGGTCGCCATTTGTGAAGTGAACTAGCAGATGGAAGAGCTCTCTCTCTCTCTGTCACTGCGCATTTCAAGTAAGTAAATGAATAGATTTACTTTTAAAGGAAAAGAAAAATAAAAGAGCCAAATCTTAGATGACCACGAGTCCTGAAGTTCACAGTAACTACAGTTGTCAGCCATGTGTTACAACCATTCCTCAACAAAATGATCTGAAAATCAAACGCAAATATTTAAATCATTTCATTACTCTGAAAAGAATGTATATATCCAAAAAAACTGTAATTACTGTCCATTCCTAAAATCTAGTATGATTTAAAGTAACTCTACAGAGCAATATCACTATTTTTTTCTATTTACCAAGTAGTTTCACCCTTTCTAATTTTTTAAATAACTACTTAAGACTAAGTATATATTTCTTGCTCAGAGAAGAGATCCTTGGGGCCATCACTGTGGTACAGCAGGTTAAATTGCCTGCCCAGCATCCCATATGGGCATCAGCTCGCATCCCAGCTGCTCTGCTTCTGATCCAGCTTCTTGCGAAAGAGCCTGGGAAAGCAAGGAAGACGGCCCACGTACCTGGGCCCCTGCAACCACATGGGAGACCCACTGCCATTTGGGGAGTAAAGCAGCAGATGGAAGATCTCTCTCTGGCCCTCCCTCACTCTCTCTGTAACTCAGCCTTTCAAATAAATAGAAAAGAGTGAGTCTTGTGTTTAGTACGTACAAAGCCCATCAGGCAACGGGATACTTTCTCAATTCCGTTAAATAGCACGGTACTGTTTCGAAGGCACCTCAAGTAAGTCAGAAACCTCAGTAATTACTAGTTGGAAGAGAAGCAAAGTTCATAAATGGAAATTTCACACAGCTGAATGCAATTCAGCAACAGTGTTAGATAATTCAAAAACTACTGTGATGACAGACAATGAAAAGCTAGCATACTTCTGTTTCAAGAACAGTAAGAAATGGGAGGGGCCAGCACTGTGGAACAGTGGGTAAAGCCACTGCTGGTAGTGCTGGAATCCCACTTGGGCGCCTGTGAGAGTCCAAGATGCTCTACTTCCAATTCAGCTCCCTGCTAATGTGCCTGGGAAAGCAGCAGAGGATGGCCCAACTCCTTGGGCTCCTGTACCCATGTGAGAAAGCAGAAGAAACTCCTGACTCCTGGCTTTGGTCTGGCCAAGCTCCACCTGTTGTGAGCAGTGAGCCAACAGATGAAAGATCTTCTCTAACTCTACTTTTCACGTAAATGAATCTTTAGAAAAAAAAGGGGGGGGCGGGGGAGGAAGCAATATTTATAGAGTGTGGGGAGCAGCCCGGACTGGACTGAGTTACTGGAATTAAGACTTATTCTATGCATCTGCTCTCCCACAATATGGCGCTGGGAGAGAAGTAAACAGCTTCCGCACAGCTGCCTCCAGTTCAACCAATAAACTGTAGGACTTGCTCCTGATTGGAGAGCAGCGTACTCGGCGTGTGGGCAGCCGAGTTGGGATTGGCGGAGGAGGACTATAAAGGAGGAGAGAGACGGCATTCACCAGGAACATCTAAGAGGAACATCTAAGAGGAACATCTACCTGAAGGAACACCTGTGCAGCCCCCGAGAGAGCCGGCCGGCGGTGTGCTGCTCCCCTGCGGAAGTGGGGAATGTGGCAGGGGGAACCGCCCTTCCACGGAGGTGGAAGGGACGGTAGCCAACCCGGGAAGAACCAGCAGCCAACCCGGGAAGGACCAGCAGCAAACCCGGGGAGGGCCGAGCAGACGAAAGAACAGCGCAGGGTCCTGTGTCGTTCCTCCACGAAGAGGGGGAGCGACATAATGGTGCCGTGACTCGGATAGGAAACCTAGGACGGATCCCCCTTTCTTTTTATTTTTTGGCGTTGATACGCGCCTGTCTTCGGCGTTCCGCGGCACACACTCTGCTCTACTTGCTAGAGTTGCCACAGGTTCTTACAAGTCCTATCAATCAGGCAAACCGAATCCGGGTCCTCTCTTCGCCATGTTGTGAGGAGGTTTTTAGGCGCTGATGCGTGCCTGTGTTCGGTGCCCTGCAGCGCATGCTCTGCTCTGCCTGCAGGGGCTTACAAGCCCTAACAATCAGGCAAACCGAATCCAAGCCTTCTCATTGCCGTATTGTGGGGGAGACTTATTAGTGTTGGTTCGTGCCTATCTTCGGTGACCTGCAGCTCATACTCTGGTCGAGCTGCTTGCTGGTGCTTACCGCCTTAATCAGGCAGACCGAATCCAAGCCTCCTAATTGCTGTATTGTGGGGAGGCCTTACTGATGTTAATTCGTGCCTGTCTTCGGTGACCTGCGGCGCATAAGCTGCTAGCCGCCGCAGGTGCTCATCACCTCATTAATCGGGCAGACCGAATCCAAGCCTTCTAATTGCAGTATTGTAGGGAGGCCTTTCTATTTCTCTATCTCCGGGCATTCCTATTTCTCCCATTTTACTTCTGTCTGCCAACATTCCCATTTCTCTCATTTTACTTCTAAACTTCTGTTTCTCTTATCCCTGCAGCTTTCCGGCGCCTGCCCCGAGGCTGCTTCTCGGCGGCTTTCCGGCTCTGAGCCGCTTCAGCCCGCGCCTCTCTCATCTGCGCGGCTTCTCGGCTCTGCACGGCTCGGCTTTGCGCGCACACTCCGCGGTCTCGCACTAGCCCTTTCGTGTCTGAACCACGGCCTCGCGCCAGCCCCGCATTCCCTATTTATTCACGCCCCGTGCACTCTCTGCACGCGGCGGCTTCCGCGGGTCACACAGCATAGCTTGCGTCTCCGCCACTAGCATTCAATCTAAGTTCCCCGGGCTAACCTGGCGAATTCAACCCAGCTCACGTTTCTGCGCCTTTCGGTCTGGCTTCCCGTCCTTTGCTCCTCAGGCTAATCTGACGGATTCCAACCTAGCTCATACGTCTCCGCTTCTGGTTTCAACTCTTCGCCCCCCCATTCCCGGGCTAACTTGAGAATCCCAAAGTGGCTTTCGTTTCCGCCTCGGCCTGCCCCCCGCGGCTTCAATTTCCCTAACATTTTTCTCTACCCGGTATGTTTCCCCAAGCTTTCTTCCAACAATACTCCTCCCTCATTTCTCCTGGCCTCTCCCCACAGTCCGCATCCGAGTCTGTTTGTTCTAGCTTTCACTTTCGCTTTCGACCTTAGAGATTTCTTCTCAGCTTTCTCCTCGTAGTCCGTATCTGAGTCTATGCCTAGGCTTTCAATAGCTTCTTCGGCACCTTTTTCGTCCGGCTTTTCCCTAGGC